GCTCACAAACTGAAAGGTAACGGATTGCTGGGAATTTGGTGTTTTTTTTTAACTCATCTGCAGTTTTTTCTTATCACAAAAGTAAAAAAAAAAAAATCTCGTGACAATTCATGTTCATCAAGGTTCAATTTATTTTTGGATTGGCAGGTCCTCAGCAGCATTGTGGCGAATGTCTTGGAGTCCTTTGGTCAAGTTGGAACTGCATCAACAGTCAAGTTCATCAGGATGCTCGACCAGTTTTTTGATTGTCAAACTTGAGTCAGGGAAGGCGCACCAGGAAGCCCGCTTTGGCACCGTACACAAGTGTGGATGATTGGCATGTCAAGATGAGTTTTACTCTAAACTGCTCACATGTTGGATAATATTTTAAAGATTAATTGGTCTCGGTAATGTCATGGAGCTATAAATTTGGTTATATTGTACAGTAAAGTTTGTTAGGAAATTGTGCATTATAATGCTGTCTTTTACTTCTTTCAGAATGTAAAAGTTTGCAACATGATGACATTGGGTTTCAAAATATTTTACTTTGACAACAGGTGTGTTTGAATATGAAGAATAAGAATACCAGCAGGACAGCCGAAGTTGGAGGTTTTTGTTTTTCAAAACCAAATATATAATTTACCCTCTAGTGTTGTTGACCTGGATTTTTTTTATGACCATTTCAGTTGCTGAAAGACGACTTCCTTGAATTCCTGATGGAGTGGCAGAATGAAGTGAAAGCTCTTTCTGATCTACATGTATTCTAGATAACATCACACGCAAAAAAATGTGCCCAAGTACCGAAACCTTGGACGGTCTTACGATAACAGGTAAATAATGCCTCCAATTTCCCCCTCTTAATGCCCTCTTTTGGCTCCGATTTCCCCCTCTTAATGCCCTCTTTTGGCCCAGTGTTGTCATTGTGTTGATGGGGAGAGGCCTATTCTGACAAAGTATCTGTGTTTTGGGGTAGTCGCAATAGAAAGGCATGTCACCTTTTCACGCATGCTACAACTTGAACTGAATGTTGTCAAATACCCAGACAGAATGTTGGCTGAAAGAAAAATGTTGGTAATTCCCCATTTTTGAGACAGACAAGGACATACATGTAAATTAAATTAGGTTTTGCCCTTCACCGACGTTTTTTAAACACTGTATACTCAGTGTGTTACCTCCCGAGTGAAAGTTGGAAAAATCACTCGGGTGGGACTCAAACCCACGACCTCCTGCTTTTTAGTGCAGATGTCTTACCACTCGACCACCGAGCTAACGGGATCGGTTGGCCGGTTCGAATCTGATGTACATAGCAGCAGGTACCGCATAAACTGTAAACATACATGTATCTAACTAGATTTTTTTTAGGCACATATGTACACATGTGTATGTCAAAACGACAAAACTGGCAAATGTTCTGGTCCAACGAGAAGTTGCATGCCTTAAACTTTTATGTTTGTAACCTCCTCTTTAATTTCTTGTCCTCTCTATAGTTCACTTCTTCATAGAACTTGCCAACATCTTACTGTCATCCACAAACATCAAGTTTCTGCTGAGTGAGAAGCTGAACCAAGACCCTCTGGAGGAGTACTAACAGCAAGCAGGGGGGATCTGGGGAATCCTGGGACAATTCCACCGTTGAACAGTTCAGCCACAATATGTTGGCATTGCATGTTGCATCGTCATGTACAAAATGTACTAAGGTCTCTAAACGAGGGAACATTTGGAAGCAAAACCGAGATGATGGTGGTTACACAATAGATTTAACCCCTCTTCCTAAAAGAAAGTAAATGTCACCACTAACAGTGGCAGCCCTCATAGCCTTCAGCCCTTTGTAGTAATATTTTGTAGTATCAGATCCCTCAAGAGACAACTGACTCAGAGAGAGTATGTAAAACAAGTGATAGTGCAACATGATCTTGTTCCAAAAGGTTAGACTTTTCTTCTTGCCTCTTAACACTGTGGAGCCTACACAGTATTTTAAGGAACAGCTAAAGCAGGATATCGTAGCCAAGTTTGCCATCTACCAAGGACCAGATTACAGCAAGCCTACAAAAACAGCCCGCTTTGCCAGGGAGAGTACATGTACATGTATGTCTGACAACAGAAATTAAAGCAACCACATGCAGAAGAATAACACACAGCCTCCAACATCAATCTTGCATGGGTCAAGACATCTTCTTCACTTCTAGTTGCGCTACATTGAGTGCACATGTTTACTCTTCAGAGATTTTGAACATGCCAGTGATTTTGGAAAAAGCGACAGAATCTTTTGTACAAGTCCATGATTACTTCAAGTTTGCAGGGTATCAAAGTATGGCTATCACTCCTTTAGACTTCTTGCTATGGTTAAGTGTCGGCTTCTCCTGGATGCTTACAAGGAATGCATTAATTAAAAGGACAGATACTATCTTGAATAGAAGGACTTGGAAATTATTATGTCAAGTTTACAGGGGGAGAGTTTTCCAGGGTGTGAAATTGGGGATGACCTTCACACCCAACTTCAGCCTTCTTAAGGAGCAGGCATAAAAGATGGCAGGCCTTAGTGCCATGTGTCTTTCCCTTTTTGCTGCCATGATGGGCAAAACGTTGACCCAGCTGACATACAATACATAGGTGAAGCTGACACTCGAGCAAATTTGATCGAGGTAAGTTCAACAGGGAAAATCTTATAAATAGGCCTACATAAATAATGGTAACATTTGGTGAACACAACCCGCCAACTTCATAACACGGTTAGAGAACGGAAAAGGTTTCTGTTTTTCTGAAAAATCGTGCCGTCTCGTGTCATCTTGAAAGGAAAAAAAGGAACAAATGATGCAGAAGTATAAAGAGAAAATTCACTAAACTGTCGAATTATTTTCGAAGTGATTTATTTGTTGAAAACTCGCGGTTGACCACAAATGAGAGGACTTTTAGTAAACAGTAGGCATATGATCACAAAGATTAACCAAGCATGCACATTCTAGGGTTCAGCCAATCAGAACTTGTGGGCAGTTCAGAAAAGAGTGCAACAGGCTCAAAGGCTTTGAAAGAGTGGGATCGGCTCAATCTTATAAGACGGTCTCACAAAAGTTTCAATCATGTGACAGATCAAACCAATCATAACACAAGTGGCAAGTTTCATAGAAAAAAAGCAGCACATTTTAAAGTCTTGAGATCCTTTGGTCAGGAATTGCACCAACCTAAGACACACTGGGAAAAGGAATGTTCCTCAGTTCCTGCCCATCGCTATTGCAGAGCAGACACACAATTTCAAGTTAGTTAAATGGCGGCCCACATGTTGAACGGTGTTGTCAATCGCTGCATATTGAATTCCATAAGCGAGGTAAATGCACGCGATCAATGCGCCCAGCCCCTTGTCCATCCATGAATTCTGAATTCTGACTGGATGGCACAAGATTCCCAACAGCCTCCCGTAAGGGTTATAACAGAAGTGGATGCACCTCAAGAGCAAAGAAGCTCCCTTCACCAAAGACACATGCGGCTGAAAACGACTCCGACGAAAGTATTGGGGCTTTCAGTAAAGTAACAACAGCGGGAAAAAAAATTGATAGAAGTACAGGGTATTTTCATAATGAAAAGTTGATATAGGCAAACGAACATAAGCTCAAGTACGTGGGGCGCTGCATACACACACTACAGAACACACGTTACACACATTTAGGCCTATATACAATGGCGCGCATTTATATACAATGTACACAATAACTAATCAAAACACTGACGGGCTATATTTTTTACAAGCCAAAATGGTCGTCGGGATTTATTGTCCAATTAGCATGTTTCTTATATTAGGATCAGCGTTTAAAGAAATTTACCAACTTTATGAATGTCGTCAGCCCAAGCTTGTTGAACTTTTCGTTTTGACGCTGTAGTAAAAAACGCCTGAACATGGTTGATAAGAAACTAGTTTACACTTCGTGGATGTGCACTACTGAATAGGAGCACAAAGCATGGATGTGTTTTTTCAAACTAAAATGGTCGTTATTGGCCGAGCACTGTCAATGACAAATTTCATCCCTATAGAAAGCTCAAGATGTCTTCTTTCATGTTCTGATCACCCCAGATTTGTAAGTTGCCTATTTTTTAAGATATGCCTGTTTTGGTCTCTCAACGACGCACGCCCACACATACTGAGCGTGTACACCCAGTGTTGCGATGAGCAAATGTTCAAAACTTTTCATTATGCTTAGGGTTCTTGGATGTGACGGTCAGCCGAACAGAGTCAGCCCAACCAGTCAGTAGCCAATGGTTCAACTGAACAGCCCGAACATCATAATGAGCCAGTAACTGATGCTCCAACCAAGTAGCCCCAACAGCTGTATCAAGACATTCCCCCACTAACTTTTATGGGACTGGTAAGCACTGTAGAAATTTCAAATGATAACATGAGTGACATAATCTTATTTTGAATTTTTAATTATCAAAGGCATGCCCAAAGTAAATCACAGAACAAAGGGGCGAATCCTAAGTCAGGTCATAGTGTGAAATACATGTCTAGTACTATCAGGGGTACAACCAGTCAAGATTGACCATGCAGAAACATGTAATCAACTTCCGAACCCTAACCCCCTAGTAGTTCCTCAGGACTACCGGTATCCTGCTAAATCCCACAGAGTCCAACCGGACTTTCCTGCTCAATCCACTGTGCCTCATTTTCAGTTGTCTGCTGAATCCAACGGAGTCCAACATGGCGTTATAATGCCATTCAGTTGCCTGCTGAATCCAACATTTTGCATGGGGAATGTACACAAGGGGTTTACTGCTCAATCCAACAGGCTCCATCGGGTATACATGTAGTTGGATCCTGTTGGATTCAGCAGGGTTAAGGTTAGCTTAATTCAAGAAGTGCTGCAGACTCAGTCACAGTTCCCATCTCGAAGAAGCTATGCATGTACATGTACTTTGCTAATTTGCATACAATACACAATGTAGTTTCAGAACAAACTGCAATAAAGTTGCCTCATCAAAAAATCAAGGGCTTGAATAATGGTAACATACATGTACCTGTATACATGCTCAACTATTTGCAAAAGTATTACAATTTTATGACAAATACTTTTTTTTTTGAGGGGGAGGGGGTTGAATGCTCATTATTGGTACATGTAAGACCACGGGAGAACTAAGTCTTACCGAATAATGATGTGTTATTTTCCTATGACTGTGGGCAAGCTTGTAAATTTTCAGTTGAAAGATCACCATCTACTACAAGTTCCAAACAAGACTTACCTGCCTTGAAGCAAGGAAACAGGGGATAGGGCTGAGTTACATGCACCAAACCTGAACAGAGTTATGGGCTGGGAAAGCTGCTTCATCAGAACAGGAACTGGATAGATGTAGGGACTTGCATGCAGCAACTGAAATACATGTTGAAAAAAGAAGGGGATAACAAACAAACAAATTAAACATCATAAAAAATTAACACAGGTAAAGAACAGAATTACTTAAACAGAAAAATGGTGCTTCTGCCCATGGGCAAGACACTAAACTACAATTGTCTCTGTCCACCCAGTATGAATGGGTATACCTGTGAGGGTAGAGGACTGAATGTGAGCTGATATCAGCTGCCGTGCATTGAAGGAACAACATGCAAACATAGGCCAAGATGCAACATCACAAGTCCTAAACAGGAATGTCCCTTGCCATACTTGCATTTGGAAGCTTAAAGTTCATGGACCAAAGGAAAACACACATAACTTACATGTAAGCGTGTTTCATGTACATTTATAGTTTTTCATGTAGTCTATAACATATACTATTGTTAAAAGTGTGGATTCGGAACTACAAATCTGTTACGCTGGTCATAAAGTGTGGATTCGGAATGCAGAATCTTCAGTAAAGTGTGGATTCGGAATTACGAATCCACACTTTGAACACGTCTGAAAATTGTTCTCCATAATGAGCATTAATACATGTAGGACCATATGCGTGAAAACGTTCCTTCCGAAATTAACAATGCATCTTCACTGTCAGATTCTCTGCCGTCGATCACTGCAAAACCTACTTCGAGTCAGAAAGAAATCATTGTCTGAACTATCCACATGTCGATGGAAGGAGCCGGGAAAAATATTGCAACCTGATGCCACTTTTTTCTTCATTTGTCATCTCAATGATGGTCATTCATTGCAAAAATGACGATAAGACATGAATCTGGGACTGAGAAATATTTCCAATTTTGTCAGGAAATACCTTTTCTTGACTCTCCATAGACTTTGTACACAATCGCGGAAGTGGCGTCAGGTTGCAACATTTTTCCCAAGTCTTTTCATCCCCACTTACTGTTAATGCCAATACTTCTTTTGACGCAATGGTTTAAGTCGAAGAATACACTCGAAAGTGTAGATTCTTAATTTACGAATTCACTCGGCGCTTCGTACCTCGTGAATTCTTAAATTACGAATCCACACTTTCTTGTGTGTTCTCCTTAACTGAACAGTGGACACGTTGCCCAAGCCAGATATTTGGGGGGTTTTCAGGGATGGTTCAGTTTGGGTCAATTCAGGTCAGTTTTTGCTTGAATTTTTGTCAGGTCGGGTCGCGTCGGTTTAGAGGAGTTCAGATCAGTTTCGGTTCAGATTCTGTTTATCTCTACAATGTTTCGGGTCGGTTTGGCCTGGTCAACCGGACCCGATGCACAATATTAGTTCCCAGCAGCTTAGAAGGGTAACAAGGAGCTTGCCTCACATCAATGTGTTGACAGGAGATGTTGATGCACCCTACGTTTGAAGGAGCACCACTGTCTTTCATCTCTCCCACTTCACAATCTGGGAGACTGTTCCAGACATGGACTGCAGTGTGGATGAAGGTTCTGCCGGTGGAGTAGGTCCTGGAGACTGGCTTGGAGAGTGCATGGCTAGGCATTGACAAACTGAGGCGTGTTGCGTGTCATATCTCATCATAGAGCTGGGGCAGCATCTAGCCTTCAAGCCTGGTGTCCTAACAGAAATGAGGCCTGTAAACACTGGCTTCAAAGCTGCAATTTAAATGACAAAGTCCGAGTTTAAATCAAATAAATAGTCCACGGTCCAGACCAAATGTCAGTACCATCTGAGGTGGCAAAACTATCACCGAAAGTCAAACTAAAGTGATAGCCTTTCGTAATGAGTAATATATTTTTGAAAGCAGGTACCCTTTTATACCTGAAACCCTATGCAGGCTTCACAATGCCCCTCTTTATCAATACAGATTTTTTTTAAAGGTTTGAAAAACAAAATGTAGGGTTTAAAGCTCTTCCAGAAGGCATTTTTGGTTATGCAAAACAATGCAACCTTTCAGCATTAGGTAAAATGTAGCAGAAATGTAACAAATTGATAACCTCAAGTTCTCCACACTAGATTAGATAAGCTATCAATTTCAAGCCAACTGATCATAAATTCTGAAACCCTTGTGAACAATCTTAGAGAGGTAGGACTATATTGTTGATGTGGTTATTTTGGAATTATGATACAATGTAAGTGCGGGTCATTGATTAAAACTTTTGAGTTTGCCACCTTGGATGGTACATGAACTAGTACCAGCAGGTCCATGGACTAAAATTACAATACAAAGTTACAATACAAGATTCACATTTGGTGAAATTTCATTACATACTGATACATACTTCGACATTCCGTCTCAGAATCGTGCCCAAAAAGTTACAAGCTGCAAAACATAATTTATAGCTTCCTCCTCCTCCCCCAACCTACAGTAGTTAACAGTACTGACTTAACCTGTTTTAGTATTAAAACATTTGAGCCCCAGAAAGAATGTAGTATTCAGACGCCACTACAGCGTTGTGTACAAATCTATAGAGAGTCAAGAACATTCCCAAAGTTAGACCCATAAACGTGGCATCAATAACATCGCCACGTTTCACAGTCGTGTAAAAACACTAAAAAAATATCTGCACGCGATTACACGGGTATCTGGAGGGCTCCTAAAATTTATTGCGTACATGACCAAGTACCAGCGTACTGTGCTTAACCTCAGAAAATCAAAAGTTGTGTTGAGATCGGTTTTTCACATTAAGACTTTATTTGTAGTTTATTTACGCTTTAGAAGCATACTCACCCTAGAGCGATAGAAAATTACATGTAGTCCCCCTTTTTCAGACATCTACTTTTTCGTGTAATTTCGCGTTGGAATTTAGATACGCAAACGTGTGCATACGAACCTGGAAATTACATGAAATATAGATGTCTGAAAAGGGGCGGGGGACTAATTTTCTATTGCTTTAATGTGGGTGACTGTGCTTCCAAAGCGTAAATAAACTAGGGCCTACAAAACTACATGTACAAATAAAGTCTGAATGTGAAAAGAAAACTTGACAAAGTTAACATTTATGGGGAGATGGGTACATGTTCCAAGTGTGGCATTTATTTATGGAGGTACTCCAGTAAATTGGCCACATTTTTATATGGAGCTCATTGTGACGCCACCTTTACAGATCTATCTTAAAGTATTTCCTAACAAACTTGAAACTGTTTCTCAGTCCCGATCCCAGATTCATGTCTTTTCAACATTTTGCAGTGACCGACCTTCACTGATGAAAACAGTGGCATCTAGATGCAACATTCTTTCTAAGCCCCACCCCCTCCCCCTGCTAGCCCAGCTGAGTCAACAATACAAGACAGTCGCCTTTGACAAGCCTGAATCTGCCATTCACGACACAAACCTATAGACCTCAAACCTTCAGTTTTGGGAATCTCACACAAAGTAGTGATGCTTTGGGAACCCCGCATTTTGCAACTTCAGTCTGACATAAATCTGAAAGGTCACAGGCCGAGACGACAACACATGGCGTCGATTTCTTGGACCAGTACTAGTAGCTACTGCCCCATTCTCTGCAGTGCGACAGAGCCACGACAGAGCCAGTCATGCCCATGCAGCGATCATGCATGCTCGTCGCGTCACGTGTATCGATACATCATACTTAGTGATCGACAAAAGTTACACTTTTTAAGTTAAAGTGAACATCTTGGACATCGTGAACATCTACGAGAATGCATCGATGAAAACCTCAAACACAAAAAAAACGGAGGAAAAAAACTAATTTCGATTTTACCATGAAGGAATTTGACGAACAGGCATGGACTCCAGCCGCATACCACCTGCACCACACGCGAGCTAGCTGGACTCTGCTGGAGTGGTTGTTTACAAAAAAGTAACCATAACTTTCAACAGCGCCACCACTTGACCAAGAAATTTGCACATTGTCACTTTAAAAACTTTTCAGCTGGTAACAATCATAATCTTGGTTGGAATTGTATCGTTGTATGATGGAGTAAATATCAACAGAATTGTCATGAACATTACATTAACCCCTAAAATCATTCATTAATTTCTAGCCAAGCTTGTTCCATTTTGAGCAGCAACGTCGTTGCTCATTGGAATGTGAAGTAAATAAAGCCACTTTCAACATTAATATCTGCACCGTTTCCCCATACTGCAGTGCATTATCGGTTGATTTTTTTTTAATCTATACATGATCGGTTGTTGCAGTTATCCGTTCTGTTTTTAATTACTTTATCCGCCCTCACGTGATACATTACCAATTAGAAATGTACTACCGTGACTGTCAGTCGATTTTTGTTACATTGATGCGATATATATCGGTTAATTTGTGTGACATTATCAGTTGGTGATTTATCCATTGGTTGTAACACTTACACTTAAGATGTGATGGGATTATCAATTATAGGCTTCAGCCTTTTAAGACCCCATATCCAGATTCTTTCAAGTAACTGTCAAATCTATTCTTCAACTGGTTGACATTCATGGCATTTACGACGTAGGCTGGGAGGTTGTTCCAGTTGTTTATTACCCGTTGGGAGAAGAAGTGTTTCCTCAATCGGAGACCTTTATGCATTCTCTTCTTGAACAACTTCAACCTGTGACCTCGGGTACTCGTACTTGACTTGGAGAAGAACTTTTCTTGATCAATATCGTCGAAGCTATTCAGGATCTTATATGTCTCAATAAGGTCACCCCTTAATTACTCTCCGCACTTCAAGTGGGAATAGGTGTAACTGTTCCATCCTTTCGCTGTACGGTTTTCTTCTCAATTCTGGTACTAGCTTTGTCGCCCTCCTCTGAACTTTCTCTAGAACCATGTTGTCTCTCTTTAGGTAGGGGCTCCATGACTGAACGCTGTACTCAAGATGTGGTCTGATGTAGGCTTTATACAATATCCCAAAGCTTTCAAGTTTGTCAATGTGCTTGAATGTCCTCTTGATAACTCTTAGACTTTGCATCACTGTACTGCTGCTTTGGTACATTGCAAGCTGGGTTTGCAGTCACTTGTGAGGTGCAAGGGCGGATCCAGAACACAATTTTGGGGGGGGGCCAAAAAAAATTTGGTCCCCCCCCCAAAAAGTGGGTCTCAAAAATTACGGCGTGGGGTTCGGGGCCCGTGAGGGCCCCGAAAAAATTTTGGATTCTAGATGCTCTGTGGTGCGATCTGAGGCAATTTCTGACCACTTTAACCAATTTTTTTTGAGGAAAAGATGGTGGTGTACTCATTGCCTGCCTTTATTGCGATGTCACATTAAAAAAAAAAAAAATTGGTTTCGTTTTGGGGGGGGCCATGGCCCCCTTTGGCCCCCCCCCCTGGATCCGCCCTTGGTGAGGTGCACACCAAGGTCCTTCTCTTCCTCAACTGCTTGAATGGTTTCTCCATTTAAGGTGTATTCAACCCTCGGGTTTACCTTGCCCATATGCATGCACTTGCATTTCGCAGCATTGAAACGAAGTAGCCATGTTTGAGACCATGTTTCAAGGGTTTGCAGTTCTTCTGGAATCTTCTGACTGCCATCTAAGCCATCCTTTCCAACAACATTGTATAGCTTGGTGTCATCTGCAAACAGTTTAGCCGTCGATGAGACAATATCTGGGAGGTCGTTGATATATAGAACAAATAGAGTTGGTCCAAGCACTGACCCTTGTGGAACTCCACTTATGACATCTGCCCATTCCAAGGATTCCCTTCTAACTCCAACTTGCTGCTTCCTGTTTCTCAGAAACTTGCATAGTAGTCTACGGTCGCCATCTTATACATGGTTTACCAGCCCAAGTCGATCCAGAGGATTGAAACCGCTTCAAGTTGACAGCGCAAATTCCACATTTTAATTTAGGGTAATATTTTGGCCACGACACATGAAATTGTAATAAACCAATAATTAATAATGGTTACGTCTCTCTATAATTCGACGTCCCATTGGTCCGACGTCGACTGGTTGACTGACCCTAACCCTAAACCTAACACAAACCCTAACCGTCGGACCAATGGGACGTCGGCGGCCCAATGGGACGTATTGACCAATGGGACGCAGAGCCTGAGACCAATGGGCCGTCGGACTAGGGGACGTCCCCATAATTCACTTTCATCTCTTTTTGATATTTTGGATATCACTTCTTTTGTCCATACTCGATCTGTCAAAAGGAACGTTCTGATCTCCGCATCAATTTTAGTTGTTAGTTTTTAATTATTTCAATTGTTAATTTTACTATTTGAAACACTTAAATATGCTTGATATAATCCATGATTACCCACAGCAATTTGAAAACACGGTGTACATGTTTTTGTTATGATCTACAAACTTGTTTGTACACTTTTTTCCCGCTCATTTTCAGTGTTTCTTATGAAAAACAAATATGTTCGTCTGAAAAATATATCGACAAAAGTCGAATGTGAATCCACTGTGACAGGAACCTGACCTACTTTTTGGGCACTCCTTTTTATTTTTGTAGTTCTCAGTTCCGACCGATCTGTTTTGAACCCCATTAACCCTAAAAAAAGAAAAAGGCCGGGGGGGGGCAGAAATCGCCCCTTGTTACATTTTCTATGAAAGGTGCGCTTGCACGGCGCACACGCGTTGTTGGCAAAGTAGCACAAGCGCTGTATCTAGGTTTAATGGGTTAACTCAGCATGCATGAATTTGTCATTTTTTGTGCACAAAATTTGTTGAGCATGGGAAAAGCCAGCATTAGAATGATCCACTTAGCCATAAATGTTCCATACTCAGTTTTTCCCATAGGCGCTGGCCTTTTTCAGTTTTCACGTTAAATTGCCCATCACTCGGCCTGTGTTTTCAGCATCACGCAGTCAATCAAATCTTTGACGGCCTTTACAACTCTACCCGATGTTCCCCAATACCTATGTTCCCCTATACCGATGTTCCCCGAAATCCTTAGGATTAGGGTTAGAGTTAGGGTAAGGATGTCGGGAACATCGGTATTGGGGAACATAGGTATGAACCCCAACTGTTTTCTTTTATCTGAAGAGGTGATGGAGAAATTTGCTAAAGGCCGATTGCAGGTATATGGGTCGGGGGGGGGGCAAAATGTTCCCGAAGAGGTAGCACATCTTGATTGTTTGTTTTTGTTTGGTTTTTCTGTTTTTCTGTATTTTTTTCGGGGGGGGGGGCGTTAACATGTAACGTGTAGGTGTGAGGTGCTGGCGTTTCATTTCCTTAAAAAACCTCAAATATCGGTTGGAGGAGGGATTTCCTTTGTCTCTCCACTGATATACGCGAATGACTGCAGGATTAAAAGACCTTGGATGAGCTTTACAAATTTAACCTTTCCAAAGGGCCTACAATTTTACAAAGCGTGGTCTGAGAGATTGTATGAAAGAGAGAAAACACCTGTTGTATTTTGACTTGTGATATAACTTATGAAACATGGATAAGTGAATTGAATGTAATTTGATGAAGGCCTTTCCACGCTGCACAATTTATATATTTCAAACACATGGTGAATCGATTGTAATTTACAAAAAGAGCTGTTTTCGGATCATGGAGGAAAACACACACTAGGCTTGTTAGTGCCAAATCCACCGCTTGAGAGAATTATAGCGCCCTCTGTTGACAGAAAAGTTTGTTGTTATTATTATGGGATGGCGAGTGATAGGACGTGCCGAGGACTGAAGTTTTTTTTCAACCTTTAGACATCTTTTAAGCTTTCTTTTTGACTTACTCTCGACTTTTTGCGTGTTTTGGAGCAATTCAAGGATCCTAAAAGGAGCTTCTCATAAACTGTAAGAACACAGTAGGCAAGGCAATATTGAAGAAAATAGACCTGATCGAGGGCCTTGAATTGAACAGTGTGTGAACTTGTTTTCGTTCTTCTGAGAACGATTGAAGCGTTGGAAACTTAGGCCCAGTCCTGTCCGCAAAATAAACGTGAAAAATTAGCTTCAAAGTGAACTTTAGAAAGGCCCATAAATAGGCACGTACAAGGCCTATTATTGTGTTCAGCACTACAACGTCGTCTGAGCGAACACCGTCAGCGGATTCAAAAACAAATTTTGGGGATTCTGTTTTTACACTATACAGTTTGTTTTTGGTCACTTTTTTATGGAGGAGTGGTGGTGTGCCAACCTTACCATCTTTGTGGACCTGACAACAAAACAGGTCCCCATAACGCAGGTTGTGTGAACGCTATGTGGACTAAGCCAGGTCCACATAAGGATTTGCTCTCTGGAAAACAGGTTTAGAGGCATTTTGGGTTAGGGTCATTTGTCGCAAATTAAAGAGGAACACCCAAGGAAATCAGGATAAAAAAAAATGGTTTGAGAGAGTTTTCACAGTGTGAGTAGAAATTTGTTGTCCCCGGTTTTCCTTAACTGTGCGAAAACAAAGGAATGTCCACATAGGGTATGTAATATAAACGTGTGTGTGGGTGTGTACATAATGTATACACATTGAAATTGTGGACCTTGAACAATAGAGGACTATAGGGTTGACCGAAGGTCCACGTTTGATATGTGTGTACAAATCTTACGGGGGATCTGCATCCAAATATAAAGTATAAACAAAAGAGGGACAATAGGGAGTCCGCGATTCAGTGAAGGTGTTTACACAGTTGATCCTGTTATCCTTTGCATTTATCTGTAAAAGCCATCTACCGAATTACATGTATTATCAAAAGGTTTACTTGGATTAAAGATCCTACTGGCACTGAACACCCCGTGAAATGATTCCGCTTGGCTCAATGTATTCCAACGATTACTCAATATTGACTGATTATTGGAAACACGGAGCGCATGCTGTGGACGCGATTTTCTGATCAGGATTGTGCAGGCGGGGAGTTTCACTGTTGTCTCAAAAAGCTGAATCTCCACTGAGATGAAACTTCAACA